CAACATATGACTCAGGTCCAGGTTTGCTGCTAACACCATTATGCGGCCTGGCTTAGTGCTAATTGGTTCCTGGCTCTGTGTGAGAGTGTGTGAGTGTGAGTGTGTGTGAATGTCACCAGGGCTGTGACTGAGGTTTGAACATCGCCCAGGGCTGTGGACAGAGCAGCCAAGTCATACATCACACACATTATACACAAAGTATTATATACTTTGTCTGTGTGTGTGTGTGTTATAAAACTCTTTCAATAAGTTCATCCAGACAGCCTCAGACCTCACACCCACCCTGAGGGTTTACTAAGCCCCCAAATCCTCGATATATCCTCAGCTCCCAATATACCAAGTATTTGCGCTCTCGCTCTCTTTTTCTCTCTCTATCACTCTCTCTCTCACACACATACACACATTCTCATTTTAAAGAACTGAGGGTGTGTGTGTGTGAGTTCATTTCCCCTTTTACAGAAATATCAAGAGCACCAGTTACAGTTAGGCATGGCTCCATCCAACTTTTACATGTCCGACTCCGATACTGCAACAGGAGTACCTGCTGATGCCGATATCACTCCAATACTTTCTTTCTCCTTTAGCTGTATGCTATAGGCTGCTGCTGTTGCTGAGGCGATAGTGTTTCTGTTTACAGCATGTCGTACAAAGTTAAGTTGCCTTTCAGCCTTTGGGCCCAGATCAGACTATATGCTATAGGTGTCTTTTTTTTAATGTTCGATCCTGAAAGTTTGACCAATATCTGACCGATACTGATCCTGAGTATCGGATCGGGCCATCCCTAGTTACGCTTAAGAAAAAAAAACAAAACCAATAAAATACGGCTCACGAAGTACTTGTCATAATGTGAAATTTAGTGTATGAAATGGTCATTCATCATAAACCTGGTTACGTAATAGGTTTAAACTAACTTGCTAACAGCTAACAGCTGACAATATAGTATAGTATAGTATAGTAGAGTATCTGAAAAGAGTAGATTGCAAAGTGTGAGTGAGTCTGATTAACTAATCTAGTTCTAACATGCTAACTGGAGACATGTGATCTGATCAAACCTAATCCAGATTCAACTGTGTAATTCTGGACTCTCTGTGTAAATGACCTGACTGTTTCTCTGTCTTTTCCGGTCCCTTTAGAGTCACTCTGTACGACTACCAAGCTCTGTGCTGGGTATTTTCAGAGAGCAGTGACAGTGGACACACGCTGCTTGATGTGAGCACTGCACTTCACACTGTTGGTATATCTGTGCTGCCATACACAAGTCTTATAATGGTGTTTCTTTCATTCTCTTGTATTGCAGCCTTACTTTGCCTTCTTCTCAGCTGTGAAGTGGATCCTAACTGAACTCGTCATGTAAGGCTAAGTGTGTGTGTGTGTGTGTTTGTGTCTGTGTGTGTGGCATGGCGTCAGCGTGTGACATACATACAGTATATAGAGTGTGTGCACATTTACGAGCGCTTTGAAGAGCAGCGGCGTCATCACTGATAGGCAGAGATAATAGTAACCTGATGTGAACTGCAATGCCGCATTTGTGGGTGTTTTTTTTTTTGTTTTGTTTTATCCGGGTGGTCTCTCTGTCGTCACCTCAGTGCATCATGGGAGAATTGAGATGTCAGCTTGAATTATTAATGTCTGTCACATTATAGAATATTTTTTTTCTATCTTAGAAAAGATAATGAGGTAATAATTTATGTGCATTTGTTTCATTTGTTGTAATGTGCCATGTCGGTATCAATTACTGATATAGATATTATTCTGCTTACTGCACTCCATATGGTTGATAGAAGTCATAATAAGTAAAAAAAAAAAAAAATTAAATGGTTGGATGTACATATGGAACAAAATATAATATGTTACTGTGTAAGAATTTGACAAATTCACCAACTTCATCAAGAAAAGTTCCTAAAATTAAAATGAAAAATAAGATCTGGTTGGTGAGTCCTTAAGGACTTAATGAAATGGAAAACTAAAAACTGGTTTTAAAAAAGCATCCACTAAAGGTTGCCCACCATCTGAGGTCTAAATGATTCCCATCAGTAGATATGACATTGCAGTAATGTCCAGGTACAGTATTTTCAAAACAATTTACTGAAAACATATGATTCTTAAGATTGGTACAAAGTCGGTAAAATAAAGTACATTTTAAACTTTTTTTTTTTTTTTTTTTACTATTTTCGTTTAATTTGCTGTAATTCTCCCATTATTTGAATTCATTTCCACAATACATTTTATGGTTGAAGCCTTTTTCTCAACAAGATTCTGATTTTTTATTTTTTTTTTTTTTAGATTCCTGGTTGAGTTCAACTTGTACAGCTGGTGGTATTCAGATGTGGCAGTTAAAGGTAAGAACACTCTGGTCCACTTCCTTATTATCCTTGTTCCTACGTTCAGTGTGATTGAACCCATTGGCCCATCTGCAGACTAAAGTCTAGTTGTCTAATTTCGTTTTTGTTATTTTGATTTGATCTTCGTCTCTTAGAAAATTTAATTGAACACCAAGAAAATGTTTTAGGATTACTTTCAAAATAATCCTCGAGACATATGTAAAAGAAGGCTTTGAAGAACAAGAAAAACAAACTTATTCTCAACTCCATGTAGCTAATTCCTCAGACAGCAAAACAGCACAAGAGTGGAGACAATTTCACAGCTGGTTGGGCTCAGGTCTTAGCAGCCAGGCAACAATAGATACAGTCTGTGACATAAACACACACACATTTTTCCACATAATACCATCACATAGCCGCGTCACACTCTGTAATTAAATCCCTTCAATCAAATTACACTAATCCAGAGTCTTTAGGAATTCACGACGTTGTCAAAATATGTCAGAAACAGATCTGTGTGAGTTTAAGTCTTTAACAATACGATGAAAATGAGGCTTATGTTAACTCCGTCTTCTATTCACTCTACCTACAAACAATATATTTGTTTATTATCTACAGTACTGTATCTAATTTCTCTCACCGGCAGACACTAAACTAAGAACAAATAAAAAATGTCTGTTGACTGAAAAGTGATGATTATTATTAATATTTATTTCAGTTGATATTTCCGCATTTTAGAAAACATCAGAAGAATATTATTGCTAAATTTATAGGTGTTTTATTTTATTTATTAATTAAAATTAATCATTTTAAGTGCTATTGTTTTGCCAGGACTAACATCATAGTTATGTCCAAATGTTTGCAGATTTTATGCAGAGAAAATTTTAATGAAAAAGATTAAAAAGCTGACAAATCACAAAACATGTCTAACAACGACAACAATAATAATAATAATATAAAACGAAAAGATAATTGCAACACCGTCTGCGTTTTATCTTTCCTGCAGTACCTGTTCAGACCTCAGGGTGGCAATAGAGCTCAACCTATGTCTCCTGAATAGTCAGCTTCGAGTCATTTTTTTTTTCCATCTACAACATTTCTTTTTGAGAGGATGTGGTTGTGTTCAGTGTCCGTCTGCAACACATTTGCAGGACAGTTTTTTTTTTTTTTTTTTTTTTCAAACACCACATTTGACTTTGAACTTCATGTTCCCTGACTTTCCCACCAGCGCTGACTCATTTCTCTAATCGTTCTTTTTCTGCCCTTCTTGTTTCCGCTCCTTTTCTCCTTTTCCTCGTTCCCTCTCGTCAGCTCAGAGAATGGGTCGCTCCATGCAGGTACCATGTGACACCGAGTACCCGGCCTTTGTCTCCGAGAGAACCATCAAGGAGAACACGGGCAATGTGGACTGTGGAAGCTGCATCAAGTAGGACACACACACACACACGTACAACATCAGAAATACACGGTCATGAAACATGTATTAGGTGGCCACACAAAGGTTCAGTCAAATATATATTCTTCAATGTGGGTAAAAAAAGGAGTTAATAAATGGAGCCTGTATGAGTTCACTGAAGTTGGCCTCCATACATATGAGTGGAAACCACACACTGTCAGTACAGTTTAACCAGTGTGAACGCACACCCGTTCAATACTGGAAGAGATGTATGAATATGCATAATCTACAGGTAATGTCTGAATAAGTTAAGGTAGATAACAATAATAAAACATTTGATTAAATTATATATCTGATTTAAAAGAAAAAAAAAAGGTCGGTCTTTGCATTTAATAAAATGACTGCAGACCAAGTTGAATCAGGTGGAAATCCACCGGTTGGATCCCTGCTGGGAACAGATGGTCTGCAGGTTCGGCCTGACGTAGGTTTTCCAGTTTAATCCCACAGTGCACAACGTGCAGAGTGAGAATAAGGTCAACTGGACATCAGTAAAGGAACCCTGGGATGGACTGTTGTGACCCTGAAACTGATTGAGATGTCAAAGATAAGTGAATGATAGGTTAGGTCAGATTAAATAAATAGGAAGATTAGATTTTAGAGATACAGTAAGAGATGGTCAAGATTAGATTAGACTACAACTGGCCAGCACCATACGAAGCAGATCAGATGAGATTGGATTGGAAGATTTATGTTATGGTCAGAATACATTATAGTAGATAAAACTGGATGAACTAAACTCCAATATCAGATTAGAGTTAAGGGATCAGTCATGATGACAACTGGTTAGATCTGTTTAAAATAGAACTGATGAGATTAGGCTGTATTAGATTAAAGTTATCTTAGATCAGATTAGATTGGATTGGGTTTGACTTGATGATATTTATATTATGGTCAGAGTACATCACAGTAGATAGAATCATCTGATCTAAACTACGTGATCGTAGTAGAGGAAAATAGTGGTCAAAGGTTAGTCATGATGAGTATTGGTTAGAGCTGTGTAAAATAAAACGGATGAAATTATGTATACCATTAGATTAAATTAAGTATGAAAAAACATTGAACAAATTAATTCCATACAATAATGATCTATGAAAAAACATTGTTACACAAACTGTAAAAATATACTTTTAAGTCAATATTACACAAGCGCAAACAAGCTCAAACAGTTGAACAGAATTGTTTTTTTTCAATTTATTTCAGTAAAGAACAAATTAATTCCATACAATAATGATGTCATGAACAGGACAGAAAAAAGAAATCCTATAAAAATGCGAGATGAATGTGGTCCACGTTCACAGTTTATATCAGGCAGTTGTGGGGTGTTGTCCGGAACCTTCCAGTGGACCCATCTTTGCTCCGAGCTGTGAAGAAGTACTGGTGTGTGTGTGTGTGTGTTTCATTAGGTCAACATGCAGGACACACACTGTTCAAAGTAGAAAGAAGTTTCAGGACTGATGTAACACACACACCTTACCTGTACACTCAAGTGATGACACCGAAAATGTGTGCAGTTCTGTGTGTGCCATAGAGAGAGAGCCTGATGTCAACCTCAGATAAATCTTTTTTAAAGCACAATGAATTTGACAGAGTAAAATGAAGTTTTTATTTCACTTATTTGGAACTTTATAGCTCCTATTAGTAGAGGAGGATATTGGTGATAAACATCTGTTTCAAGTTTCAGCGTTGACTCAGGCTGCTCTCGTATAGTTTCTCTGGGACATTTGTGTCTGCGTGTGTGTGTGTGAGTGTGTTGAAGGAAACTCAGTATATCCTGAGAGCTTCACCTGTTAAATCTCTTTTCCACTCCGTCTCTCTCTCTCTCTCTGTGTGTGTGTGTGTGTGCGTCTATATTCCTGATGAGTGAAACAGACTGACAGAGAGTAAGAAACATTGAAATCTAATCCTAAATCTGTTCAACAAGGAGACCTTAACCTCCATTGTTGAACTCCAGCCTGTCTCCGCTGAAACATAAGATTTTGGACAAAGTGTGTGTCATGTCTCCAACCAGGGAAAGCTGGTTTTGAGGAGTCTATTAGAGACAATATTAAAGGATATACATCACAACCAACCGCAACTTCACTTTGGGGTTCTCTTCCACGGAACAGCTCGCACACTTTAACATGTTTGAAACGAAGCCTCCGTCTGTTTTTTCCACTGTTGACTTCGGACGACTGTGTCTTCGTGTGAGGACGTCCCCTCTGTTTGACAACATGACCACACAAACAGAAATACCTCATTGGATTCTTGAGTATGAAGTTGCTGCGGTCGTTGCCAGAAGCAGATCATTTGCTCATACCATGTAAACTAGAATTTCCTATGGCAGTGATTATCAACCGGTGGCCCGTGGCCCGCATCCAGCCACCCGAACGGTCCATTTTACCTCACGAGTGTATTCCAAAATAAACATCAAATAACATCGTTGGACAAAAATTACATTTTTATTTCATTCTATTTGAGTGTCTGAGTACAAGAATATTTTTCAAGAACATTCAAACTAAAACGTTATTGTTGTATATTGACTTAAATAAGCAGTGAACCAAGTCATACTTCAAGTCTTAGGCATATTGTAGGTCTAAGTATATATTTTTGATTGGTCTTCACCCAAAACTCACTTAAATCCAGGAGAAAATCTGTGGAGAAATTAAAAAAAACAAGGCTCTGCACCAAAAGAAACGTCAAATTTATGGGACTTTAGAGATTTCCCAAGGAACAATGAACCACTTAAAATCCAGTGACAACGTTTAATTTTCTTGCATTGTTATTTAAACTCTCTGGCCTTGTTTGTCTCATGCTATTTCTTTCTCTGTGTGCTGTTTCAGAACTTCCTCTCACTGTGATTGAATTGTTGTTAGAACCGTAAATGCACAACATGTATGGGTTTCAGAAATCTGTCATCAGAGTATGGAGCTGTGGCCAGTAATTATTATGTGTAATTTAACAAATACTAATTCAGAGAGTTGAAAAGGCTCCAAAAATGTCAGTAAAGACTTTGGCAGCCTCGGCCGTCATTTTTGTTTCCATGTCTCTCACCACTAGTTTTGGGAGAAAACGGCAGCCAGGAGTCCAGCCTTCACTTACGTGTTCTATGAGAATTGACAGTTTTCGTGTGTTTTTTTTTACGTTTTTATTAATTTCATGGCAAACTCTTCAGAAAAAATAATTGTTAAATTAGTGTTTGTGAAGCGTCTCCGTCATCCAGGCCCGGCGTTCTCACGATGTAAAACGCTGCCCACTGTGTGTAACCTTTGAGCTAAGAAAAACATAATGATTTGTGTAAGAGTACAATCAGCTTTACTACGTTCACACAGACCAGAGGGGAATTACTACACATCGCAGTACAGCCGTGATCTGTTGGCTGCAAACCTAACCTTTGTAACCAACGCAATAGGATGTGGCACAGTTTTGTCCTTTCTAGTTTCTCTGCCCAAGCTGCATGTGATGTGTACATGTATAAAGTATAAGTTCCTTATTTTTGGTAATTAACAAGTTTAAGTTAACCATTCGTCCACCAGTATGTCTTCACTGACACTGTCGGCCCTTTGTCCAAGCAGCATAATAAACATCGTCGTTGTCTTCTTCACTTGAGGGAACAGCTCCAGGAATCATGTCAAGAACACATTTATCTGTCCATACGCCTGCTTTTTAAATAAGAGCTTCTCTTTTTTTTTTCGCATTGTGCACATTTGCATGCCTGTGTGCGTCGACGGTGTATGTAAAGGGAGTGTGGTGCTCACCCTCTTTCCCAGCACTGTCTTCAAGGCCAGCAGCTGTGCTTTCAGGACATGTTTAAGTTCTTTCTCCAAGAACACTTATTCTGCTTTCCATCAGCGGTCTGATCCGGGCCCAGACTCAACACCAAGCAGGAGTCGGCGTGGCTTTAAAAACCTCAGTAGATCCTAATTCACCCTCATTACACCTGGCTGGACGTTCAGCTGATTGGGTTTGGTGGAGCTGGGTTGGTTATGGTTGGAGAGCTGCATTAGGCTGCGATGGTTCAATGCACCCTAATGCAGCTGTGCATGCGTGTTTGTGGTCGGATGAAATGGATCATGGCATTGAAAAATTGAATTTTTTTTTAATATCTTCTGAAGTAGGATTTGTGGAGACCAGGTGTGTTCATCTTACTTTTTCAAAGTCAGTGAAACCCACAGGTCATGTGCTGTGTGTCTAAGGCTTGTTAGTGTGGATACGGATTCCTTCCACTGAACACATCTGGGTGTTCTGAGAATCCCCCCCCACTTCAAAGGTTGAAAATAATGTTTTTGAACAAAAATAATTTGTTCAACTATCGCTAACTAAAAATACAATGCTACAGTAGTGCCGCTTAGTCGTTTTTATTTTTTCTGTGGATACAAGAAGACTGGCTAAGAATCTTATCCAAACGTGCGCTGTGGATGAAATAGTACTTCAGAAGAACTCACAGACAACCTGTAGATCCTTTGTAGAGGTTCTTGGGGTTTAAATTTCCTTGAACTTGAACTTGAAACGTGGCTGACATTTCACTTCCCCAGAAAGAGTTGAAAAAGCTCAATGTGTTTTTTGTGCGTTACGTGTTCACTCTTTCACGCTTGAACCTTCGTCCTGATAAATTTCTCTCGGCGAACTTGATAAATCACGCAGCTGCGACCTGAGGAGAAGAAAGGGAGGGGGAAGCTGGGAAACAAAGAAAGAGGGGAGGGGGTGACAAAAAAGAAGAGATCATCTTTATGACTTCTTCTCTTCATAAAGCTTATCCATGCTTGTAAATCAGCGGCCAGGAGACCCGGGCGAGTCCTGGTCTCCTGCTCCAGGAGGGAAGCAGGCCATGGGAAGCTGTGGAGCTCAAAGTGTGATTCCCCGATTTTCTCTTTTTTTTTTTTTTTGGCCTGTTGGATTTCATTTTCAGCAGCACTTCATCTGTGGTCACGGAAGACAGAGAATGGGATAAGAAGGATGGAGTGAAGCATGCGACTTTATGTTCCGTTTTTTAGTATTGTATTGTGTTTTATTAGATGTCCATCCACGTCTTTGTCACTTTACTGACTGCTGGCTTAGAGACAAGCTGTCCTTTTGACATCCGTCCAGCGCCGCTTCTTTGCTACATCATCCCCTCTGTCAGTGGAGAATGTGAACACTCATAACCCAAAGCTCTGACACACACAGGAATATTTATATCAAACACATGGGTCTTGTGTTCCCCACAGTCCAACTCAGATTTCCTCTAGTCACTTAACCTCTTTTTCTTTTTCTTTTCCTTTCTTTCTTCACGTTTCCCAACTTTTCTCTCTGTCTCTTCTGTGATTGGCAGATCCTTCGTCATCCAGCAGATACCCAGCAGTAACCTCTTCATGGTGGTGGTGGACAACAAGTGTGACTGCACCATGTTCGAGCCCATCACTATGGACCCTGTGGAGATCATTTATATCCTTCACATGGGGATGGTTGAACGGATGGATGAATGGGAGGAAGTCTTATTCTCTGTATATTGGTGCTTGTTAAAGAACTCACTGATACATTACTGCCACCATGTGGCCAAAAGCTTCATTGTATCTAAGCTTCTTATGCATAGGTCAGTCGATGACCCATGCACTCCCACCGCTCTTGTGGGCCAGTAGTGCAAAATTGAATTTTCTTGGGGCCCTCTAGGTGGCACTGGCACCCCAGATTTAAGCTGCAGCCCTATGGTTAAGAACTAACTGGCGTAGAACGTGGAAACAACTCTCTACAATTTAATTTTTGGACCCTGACAAATGGTTGTACTAACCTTGTTGGACAACAAACCAAAAAGTACTGTAGTCTTTTAGTTCAGTACTTACAAGAACCAAACCAAAGCGCACCAGGTGGAGAAATACTCCAAAGTTTGTAGCACAGATCGACCAACCGACGTCGGCATGAACGCTCTTCAAAACCTACATATGCGATAGGATGGTTGCTTTGACGTGTTCTCATCTATTTTCATACATCAGCGCAGAATAAATGAACCTTCAAATGTTTCCTGGTGTGCTGCCAACCTACTGCTAACATCTCAAACGTCTCCCCACTGGGAAGAGAAAATATCAACATTACCTCATTATCTTTATTACCTTATGCTTTTTATATTTGAGCTGACTCTTTTCTTCCACTGTCAGAACCGGTGAGGTTGACGGAGAACATTTATTTTATAGAAAAGCTTCGGGGAGTTTGTTAGTCTCCTACCCCTTCTGAGAAGGATAGAGATCGGGCCATTGTGTGGAAGAAGATCTAAAACAGAAGGGGTTATATGTCCCAGCTGTCAGCTGAAAATGGGAATGCCTTAGGATCCCCCAGAAAGAAAGAAATCATATACTGGAGGTATATGGGATACAGGGACAATAGACTGATTTAATGGGTCGGTGGTTGGGACAGATGCATGGATGGAAGGATGAATTAGAGCATGGATGGATCATGGCTCCAGCAACAAAAATGAAACATTTGAAGGCATGTGGACAGAAGTAAAGCCCCTTAGATCCCTGTCTGTTGGGTTTATCTATTTTAAGCCTAGCTTGTAGCTGTTTTTAGGCTACTTTTGGGGTGTCCTTTAAGGTTACCTTATTCAGCTGCTTTTGCTGTTTTTTTGGCATCTTCTGACACCAGGACCATCCTAAGACATCTCTAGGCTACTTTTTTAGTTAGCGTTGGCCCACCTATTTTTTTTTTTTATCTTTAGAATGTGTAAATACTTGTGGAGAGTTAAAAATAATCGTGACTTGTCATGTACTATCTATTTTGGTGTATCCTAGTATCTATCAATTTGAGCATATCCTTTTCCTGGTTACAAACAGATTTGTAAAATTTCTCATGATGTACTACCTTTAAGGTACTTCAGGACTTTACCATTTGTCTTGGCAGCATTATACAACTTTTAGCTAACTTTATGATCTTACTTTTTCTCTATAGAGTATCACACACAGACACATACACAAGCACACACATATACAGTATATGTGTGTATAAAGCACACACATACATTATATATGTGTGTATATATGTATATGTATTATATTCATTATATAATTATAATATATTTCAATATATATTTATATATGTATATATATACATATACAAATGTAGATTAATGTAGACATACAGTACATATGCTGCTATTTTTGCTGGCTGCACGAAGCCTGACATTCTTTACTTTTACATTGATACAGAAAGGAAAAGAAGAAAAAAGAAAAACATTTTTTACTTTTTTTTCACGAATGTCACGCTGTGCACTAAAATATCCCTATGTCTTAATGTGGTGGTTCAGAAAACACGCATTCCTTTCCATTATAAGCAAGAAACAGA